CCCCGCCGCTCCTGCCCACCCTGCGCCCTGTGCCCCCCACCAGCCCCTGCCCCTGCCTCGGCCCTGGCCACCCCCTGCTGCTGGCCCTGCTGGCGCTCCTGGCACTGTCGAGCCTGGTCCTGGCCACACTGGCCATCTACCTGAGTGGTACGTGGCACTGGGCAGGGTGGGGAGATGGGGAACTGTGGTGGCCAAACTGCCCACCCTCAGCACGTCCCCATTCTCTCCCGGCAGTCCTGCAGAGCCAGTCGGTGAGGGCGCTGGCCCAGTGGCTGGAGAGCCAGGAGGACGCCGTGCACCAGCTGCGGGCAGCCAGCAGGCAGCTCTGGGCTCGCCTCAATGCCAGTGCCCAGCCTGGTGGGCACCGCTGAGCTGCCCCTGGTCCCACCATGGGCTCCGGGCCACTACAGGAAGGGGCACCGAAGGGCAGGAGGGGGGAGTGAGCAGGCTTACCTGCTGAGACCTGGCAGCATCGCCCCTTGGGGCACAGGGGCAATCCTGGCCCCTGTCCCAGGCTGTGAAAGAAACTGGGCTGTAAGGACCTGCATCCGCCCCAGTGACAGCCCTTCCTCTTAACAAGGCAGAAGGCATACTTCAGTTAGCCTTTTAATTACCTCTTACAATCAAAGTCTTAGAAAATCACCATGATAGATACATTCCCAGGCAGGCACTGCCAACTGGCATGGCCCCATGCCCGCCTGGGCAGTGCCCCACCCCCCCATAATTAATTTCCCACAATATTACTATTTAATATAAAGCATTTGGCTGGAAAAGGACTGAGGGTGGGCAGCTGGCAGGGTTGGGCAGAGCTCACCACTCCACACCGCTCTGCCACCATCGCTGATGCCAGCCTAGCTGGGGAGGCAGGGGCTATACCCAGCATGGCAGGGCAGGGAGAATGCTCCTGCCACAGGCACAGACACTAGGACCAGCTGCTCCACAGCCCTGCACAGCTTTGCCCTCCCACCCACACTTCAGGCTGTGCCAGGCCACCCTGGTGCCCCTGCAGGACTGGGGAGGGTGTACATGAGCCCTGCCACTGAAAAGGGCTGCAGGAACCTGGGTGAGACCCCCTCCCACCGTGCCACATGGATCCCCAGCCATAGAGCAGGCACATGGCAGCACGACACCACCTCCCTCTGCTCTTCTTTTATCCTTCCTATTTTTTTGGTTAAAAAAATAAAAGAGGGGGCAGCCCCCCGCTTGGGGCAGCTCCAGACATTAAATACTCTGCTGTACATGAATAAAAGCCCGAGGGCTGGGGGCACTTTCCCCTCACAGTGCTGGGTCTGCAGTCCAGGTGGGCTGGGGGCTCTGCCCCCCTCTGCCCATCACAGCACATCTGCCCGTTTGTCCCGCACGCGGCTCCGGGCTTTCGTGCGGGCTTTGAAGGCAGCTGAGTTGTAGAGGTGCTGGAAGGAGAGGGGAGGAGAGGTAAGTTAGGGATGCCCCTCTGCCCACCTCCCCAGCAGTGCCTACCACACTCAGGCACTCAGCTGGAGCCCACAGTGACAGAGGAGGGGACTGAGGGCACAAATCTGGGAGGTGGCACTCACCTTCTCAAAGCGGGAGACCTTGCTGGCTTTCAGAGCAGCCGCGTCCAACACCAAGGGGGGCCCGAGGCTGAAGATCTCCCGTAGCAGCTCATTGTTCTGTGAAAGCAGGGCTCTGTCAACACCCATCAGCACCAGCCCAGCATTCTCTGGTGCACCTGCCCAGCCCCTACCTGGAGGTGGTGGCAGATGCCAGAGCCCAGCACCTCCTTAAAGGCTTGGTAGGTGCGCTGGCGTGCCCAGCTGTCCAGGTACATGCACTCCAGGCCAAATCGGATGGTCTCCTCCTGGTACTCCCCACTCTGAGCAAAGAGAGGGGCATCAGTGATAACCTGGGCAGCAGTCCAGTGTGTCCCCTGGCTCTCCAGAGAGGAATCATTGGGCAGCTGGGAAGCAGCCACACAGTGGCAGGGCAGGGCATCACCAGGCTCTGGTACCTCAATGAAACGCAGGATGTCCCGGAAGATGGATCGCTGCCTCCGTCGGTCTGTCTTGGCTCGGTACTTGCTGCTCTCAGTAGCCAGGACCTTGAGCTGGGTACACAGGAACTCTATATCTTGGTGGCACAAGTCCTCCTGCCAAAAAGCAAGGGGTTTAGAAGGATGAGCTCCAGGCACTGCCATGGCCAGAACAGGGCTGTGGGATCACTGGGATCAGCCCCTCTGCTTGGGCACCTGCTGGTGACGCTGGTCAATGCCAGCTTGGCTGGGGCTTGGGCAGGGTGTCACAGCAGCTCCCTCCCTGCTGCCTGGTTATTGCCCACCCACTGCTCCCATTGCCACAGCCCATGCCTTACCTCCAGGTCCTGGGCCAGCTCAAAGAGCAGTGCAATGGTTTCCCCAGCCAGGATGCGCAGGGCAACGCTGCTGCTGGTCAGCAGTGGGGGCAGCTGCAGCCAGCGACTGGGACAGGGAGGCAAGAGGGCAGTCAGGGAGGCCAAGCACTGCCCCAGGGGCTCCCTGCTCTGCAGCTGGCTGCCCCACACCAGCCTCCACTCACTCCACACCCCACTCACTTGTCCAAAATGCTCCTGAGGTGGGAGGGGGGGCAGATGGTGAGGAGCAGGGACCACGACTGGAGCGCACTGCAGTGCAGAGGCCCATGCTGGGCAGGTGCTGAGCCCCCTTCGCCTGTGCTGGTAGGGCTGAAGATGCCCTCCAAGCAGGACAGGCATGATACCAGGTCCTGGAGGAGAGAAACTTGCCAGTCAGACCAGAGCTGCAATGAAGATGCCACAGTGAACTGTGCACTGGGGACCAAAGGGACCCACCATGCCAAGGGGTGTCAGGAGCCCCCTGGAGCAGGAGAGGCTACTCTACACACAACACCACATCTCTGCAACACAGGCCTCCCCCCAGTCCAGCTCCAGGCTGCTCAGGGAAGGGGCCTGGGCTGTCACTGATGTCCCTGTACCCCTACTCCAGCTCAGCTCCAGGCTGCCCTGGCACTGTGGGCTGAGGGCAGGTGGCATGGCAGCCCCTGGGTGCCCTCTTGCAGGGGGTATGGATGACACCCAGGTGCAGTTACCTCGAGGTCAGCAGCAGCAATGTAGCAGCACATGCCCAGGGCCGTGGCACACTGGCAAGGGAAGTGAGGGAAATGCAGTCAGATCAGCCTGGCTGGATCATGCCGGGCCTGATCCAGCACCCAGCCAAGGGGCAGCCACTTTGGGCTGCCCCTGCTTTGCCCAACCACATTCCATAGCACCCAATCCTGCCACCCTCCCAGGACTGCAGGGGCTCCCAAAGGCATTAATGGCCCGGGCTCTCCCCACTATGGAGGTGTCCCCAGGAGGAAAGGGGCCAGGCCTTACGCTCTGCCGGGCGCTGGGGCTAGCTGTGCTGTCTGTCAGGACGCTGACGAGCAGGGACTTCAGGCTGTGGAACACCTCTTCTCCCTCCGGGCCAGAGCCCATCTGGAGGCAGAGGAGGGTGAGGACGGTGCCCGCCAGCGCCTGTTCCTCCCCTTTACCTGTGGGCAGCACGAAAGACCTCGCTCAGACACGGCTCAGCGGTCCCGCCGCCCCCCCCGCCTGCACCCTGACCTTTCTTGAGACACTTCTCCAGGGAGTCGGTGAGCGTGAGGCGGCGCTCCAGCAGGAACTCGGACAGGGTTTTGGAGGCCAGGGCCAGGCGCAGGCTCCGCAGTGCTGCCTGCCGCACCTTGGCGCTGCGAGAGACCGCGGGA